TATATATATATATATATATATATATATATATATATATATATATATATATATATATGCATATTACCGTACCGGTGCAAGATGGTGGCATGAATCAATTCAGCGGAGGACCTTTCGAAGTTCGAATTTAACGGGTGTATCATTGCACGATGCGGACTATCGTTACAATACTCAGGTTTTCCTTGACTGAGTTTCATGCAGGATGCAATCCCTACAATATTAAAGTAGAAGTTAACGAGAAAAATGATGCAGTTCATGTTGTGATCTGAAGGTTGCTACGACTACCTCTCTAGACTAGAGGGTAACAGTGAGGATCTATGGTCTCCATTTTGACAAAAATACGGTTCCTGTAGCCTCTGGACTCTGGAGGGACTAAAATTTCTAAAAAGGCAAAAAGACAAGGACCGATGTTTATCTTTATATAGAGGTGTAAATATATTGTTTTGGCGTTAGAACTTTAAATAGACCTGTAAATTGGTTTGGCGCCACAGTAAATAATAAATACCAAAAATCGAACGAAACACTTTGTTGTTTTTTGTAAAATATATATATAGATAAATAAATACCAGATGAGTTTTTATAATTTTGGGTTGTTTGATAAATACATAGTTGTCTGTATGTCGTTTTTAAATATGTATTGCTGTGGCGGAGTGTGGCATTATACATATTTACCGTCTTTATGAACTATATTTGTTTTGTTTAAAAAAAAGACAGTTTAATATGCCGCTACGGTTGGCTATGGTGCACAACAGTAAGACCCAGGTCGTTCCCAGGGACCACATACTGGGGATCACAACTTTTTTTCTAATCACCCAAAATCGATTTTGAGAGCAGTTTTGGGCTCTGCGCAACCTATAGATCGATAATATTCGGCTAAATTTTTGGTGCAAACCTTTGAAAAAAATTCTTGTTCACCCAAAATGTCGTTTCACAATCCGGGGCTTTTGGAGCGATGTATTGGCTATAACTCGCGATCCCAACGATGAAAACTTAAAAACTCGACGGTTTTGACCTCCATTCCTCAAGGCCTTTCGATCCCAATGTCTAAGTAAAAAAATTATGGGTTATAAATTTTTCATCCTGTGTATGCACAGCCGAAAAAGTCGATCGTTTTGGGACTACGATAAAACACTTTCTTTTTTGTGCTTGTTTATCTTGGCCATCTGGGCGGACGTTAGTCCGTTCAGCCATATTTATTTTCTTTCTTCTCTCTCTCTCCTCTCCTCTCCTACTAGAGAGTAGAGACTCAGAGAGAGAGGGTCATGTGTATATAATGTAGAAAAAAAATAAAAGGAATTTAGAATGTGTACATATTGACATTTATCGTAAAAAAAATGGGGATATTTATGCATCTCCATAGCCTTATACAAATTTAATTTTTTTTATCCCTATCGTACTCAATAAAAAAATAATAATAAATACTTCATATGAATTTAGGTCGTTTGACTGTGTGTTTGTTTTTGAGGAGGCGATGTTTCCCTATTGTTTTGAAATTATGCATTTTCAATAATATTAGGGGTTTTTTTATGCACATGTTTATTCTTTATATTTTCACACACAAAAAAACAGCGGAATTCATAAATATAAATAAATATTTACAATACGTCAGTCATCGCTCATCAGTGGCTCGTCATACCAAAAAATAGAAAAAAATACTCTAATATTCTCCAAACCCTATCTAATAATTTATAAATACCTTCTAAATCAAACACAAGTCTCAAATTCACATTTTCTGATTTTCACCGGCTCACAAGGTCTAAGTTTAACTTTTGCTTAAAAAAAAAGTTGGTT